ATATATATATATATATATATGGAAATATCTCAACGCTACATTCCAAAGAGAAAAAAAAAAACAAAAAAAAGATAAATCCATCTTTCCTTGATGCAACTCTGCACACGCTGGGAATAAAATGTAAAATTTTTTTTGTCAGTTATACTTTTATTTAAGATAAAGTTTACACATTTATACATTATGTCAAATTATCACATTAGATCATCTGTATATATTGACTTAAAACGTAGTCTCACGTTTTCTTTCAATCTGAATCGAAAAATCACGGATTGAAGGAGTGTTATCTACTGTGCTTGCAGTATATATTTTTTTTATCACCCTGTCCTGTAAATTATCATCTTCACCGTCCTCCCTAGGAGACTATGGCATTTCAAGATTTTAGCATACATATACGTATAAACATTTAACTTATCTAAGAAGTACGATATATCACACTTTTCTTTATCCTCTCGGGGGGTATTACACTCGATCGTTGGCTTGAACGGACTAGTATCGTGTATAAAATGAAAATCGTAAGAATCTATTCGCGACTTACTTACGACAGTGTTGTACGGACTAGTAATCGGTCAACGTTGACACTTGATCTGGAAGGAGTTTCTCCAGGCCGTGATTAATCCCGTATGGCCTCAAATGATAGATCAGATATTCTAGAACGTACATCATGTTTGGTGACACGTAGTGAAAGGAAACAGCACTGTCGGAACAGCAATCCAGGCCGTCCTTGGTCTCGTAGTAGATGTACTTCCAATACCAGAAGTTCTTGTCCACGTGATTGGGTATCAAGTGATGTTCCGGCACAAACGGAAAGAACCTACCGCGCCCGTGAGGATCCCTCGTGTCCATCGCACGCACACCGACCTTCTCCAGGCACTTCCCCATCTCCACGTCCTCCGCGCCGCCGTTATCCGACCGGCACTTGGTCTTGTCAGGTAAACCCTCTTCTACGAATTTGCGTAAACCCTCCTTGCTAAGTACGTAACCTGCGCCGCCGCTCATGTAGCCTTGCTTCACGAAAGGCTTGAATCTGCAGCCGAAGTATAACGACGAGTTCGGATTGTAAGGCGACAGCATGTACCGCAGATTCTCCACCACTACGTAACTAAAAACATTACGTATGCAATTTTGAGAATCGCTTTCAGAGGAACTTCTTGAGAGCGAGGATAGCAGGATACACTTACGTGTCGTCATCGGCTTTCATGAACCAATCTACCTTGTCTTTGTACTTTTCGTAAGCATACTTGAATGCCTCTTTGGTTTTAGCCCACAAGTTGTCCCTACCTTCCTTTACCGGCAATACCACGGTAGGTAAACTGGTATCTAAAAGTAATCGATGGCATGTACATATTTAATTCATTTGTGTCATTTCTTTTCTGCACCATAAATTGGTTAAAAATGTCGTACCTTCCGCGGAACTCATGAACAGAAGTATATTGCAGCGTTTCCCCCATGTCGCTTTTACATGACGAGCTTTGCTCTGATGGTTCTTCGGACCAGTCATGATCCAACAGAGAACTCGCACCTTTTTCGCCATATCCTGAGCAATTTTATCTTCCCCCTTATGAAAGTCTTCATCCTCACCATGGAATGTTACTTCGGTTTCCGGTCCGATCTAACAAGCCATCAGAAAAACACACAAATCAATATTTAGAAAAATATATAAATTACTTCTTATCTCGAATAACACGAAATATGATATCGTATCAACCTCTGATTCTAGTTCCGAGTAATGGTGAGGATCTCTGGAAAGGCCGGAGCTACTCGGCATCCAGCTAAACATATGCGACACGCTCTTAGAGGACGTAATGAGTAGCAATGCCAATATGAAACCCAAAGTCACTCCAATCGCGAGAGTCAATATAAATCGCCGACCACTTCGACCACCTACATGTACAACTGCTCGTAAACTTCAATTATATTTTCATTCGTTGTATCTTTACTTACAAGCTACTAGTCGATATAATCAGGAAAATAACGCGTCTATTTTCAGGTATTTAAATAGACACTCACCATCGAAACTAGGAAGCCGCTGCTGCACCATGATATATACTAACAAGCTGATTTAATTCAATACTACAAATGCTTTAGCATGAATTATATTTTCATTCCGACTCATGTTTGTTTGTAAAAATGCATGATATAATATTTTACTTTCGCCTTCTGAAAAATATTAAAAGAACATATAACGATTATTTCTTTCATTAGTTTTATCAAGGAAAATCTACTTTTTTATCAAATGTTTATCAAAAATCTAAATAAAGCTTGATAAGAGCTTGATAAGAGCTTGATTTATCTCTAAATATTATATATTATATTATATTCTATATTATAGAAATAATATCTTGATACTTGATATTTATATTAATGTTGTATTTGCAAGATACATATATATGTATATATATAATATGTATCTTATAATATATATATAAATTTTAATATTTTATTAAGCTATATGAAATTCTTTTTAAACATAGAAACTTTCATTGTATTTAATCGACAAATAAATAAAATAATCGACAATTATTAATGATATTGACAAAATATTGTTTATATTCTATTCTAATATTGCATAACTAATAATTCCTTTATACTGCAGCTCATTATTTTATGGCATTAAAGTTAATGTTGCTATATAAATTGGCAAATTTGATATCATGTGACTTCAATATTAAGATAAACTCATTTAGCAATTTGTGCATATTTACTCAAGTACATACTTTATATATACCTGATAAGCCAACAATTTTGATATGATAAACTATCCAAGGCCATTTTGTAAGCTCTTATACAAAACTTATAAATTATAAAAAGATAAATGCTTTCCACAGCACATTCTTTCTCTTTTCATTCCACTTTTAATCACCAACAAAATGGTTGAACAGCATTCAAATCTTTTATGTTAATACCATAAAACGAGTGGATATTTGTTGCTTGATGCAAGATGATTTTTTCAATTCAACAATCTGGACCTGAAATCATGATATGAACAGCATCATTAAGCATTATTAATTAATTAAACATTATTAAAAAGTTAAGATATAAGAGGATAAATACTTATGATTATGAGTTAAATATATATATATATATATATATATATATATATATATATATATATATATATATATATATATTTAATATAATACAATAATATAATATGTGTAAAACAAAATTACTTGAAAACACTATTTTACAAAAGTATATTTTGAACTTAATTTATAGAATTATGTATACTTATTATTTCTTTGACGTATAAACAAGTCACAAGTAAATCATCTGCACAGCTTGATGTGATCTGATACTAGCTACATCTTTCTACTTCAAGTGCTGTTTGCATACTGCTGACTTGTGTGGAACGTAATATTCTCATAGGTAAGCATTTTACTGCTAACATGCATCACCGAGTTTAGGTGCGAACACAGTAGAAAAAGCGAATATGTAATACACCAACTATCATTATGCAATACAGTAATTACATGTAGCTGCACACCACACACAAGATAATAAGATGGGAACATGTATTCAATACAAGGTCATTAATGCCTCCACAGAATCATGCTGCATACTCTTAATAGAGCATATATCCAAACTAAAAATTAAGTTGCTCGATGGAAAGTGATATAAGGAAACATTTTCATAGTATAATGTATAATGCAACAATTAGTTGTTTTATATATCAATATATCAGATTACACATTACAGAACAAATTTTATTAGTAACTTTAAACTTCATTGTAAATCAAATTACAATAATGGTAAATACACAAGTATGTCATCTTGCAAAAAGAATTGATAAATAGAATAACTCAACTTAAAATATACGTACTTTAACTTACATATACACTGTAAAAATTTTCAGTTAATTCTCACATTACGAATGCCGGGACTATCTCTCTTACTACAAGCTTTCATTTGTCATTGTGATATCTTATCTCATTTCTTTATCATTGACATACATGATTTACTGGAAAACTTGAGAACATACGATTCGGACGCGGATCCGGCACACGTATCTTCTTTAATCTTCCGAGAAAAGCTATCACTATTGCGATAGTGTTTATCCTGCCGGATACGGATGGTAAATACACAAGTATGTCATCTTGCAAAAAGAATTGATAAATAGAATAACTCAACTTAAAATACACGTACTTTAACTTAAATATACACTGTAAAAATTTTCAATTAATTCTCACATTACGAATGCCGGGACTATCTCTCTTACCACAAGCTTTCATTTGCCATTGTGATATCTTATCTCATTTCTTTATCATTAACAAACATGATTCACTGGAAAACTCGAGAATACACGATTTGGACGCGGATCCGGCACACGTATCCTTTTTAATCTTCCGAGAAAAGCTATCACTATTGCGATGTAGTGTTTATCCTGCCGGATACGGAATTGAATGACAATAAGCCGCGAGATCAATTACAGATTAAGGAATTGATGAGCGTGTGCAATATGTCCATACAACGGCCATATCTTCTAATAGTGAGTGTGTAAAACGATAAATACGTTTCGTATGATTATGAGTTCGTGTTCTTGATAAGGTTATCATCGCAAAACTATTAAATAATACAGCACATAAAGGAGCACAAAAGGTACACGATACGTACATGCCGTTCAAGCTGATATTCAGTCACACACTATCACGTTGAATTAGCAATTTGATACGAACCGCTTGAAAAAAAACTACGTATCATGGTCCACTGGCCCCATTCTGACTCGTGCGTTCTCAACGCGACACGCCGCTGTGTAGTGATAACACTATTGTGCCAACGTGTAATGGTATCGCGTCGAGGAAGCGTTTACGTATCGTGCGCGTGTTCACGATGATAACGAGCATACGCTCGAGTTCCTCGTATCGCCAGAAACGCAGCCTTTCATTATAAATATCGAAAATTAGACGCCTCTGCTCTTGACATGTTTCCGCCGGGCGTTCATTACGTTGCACACCTTTCGCACGTTCATTCTTGCGTTGCCCTCAGGAGCTCTCCTTCATTTCACATGGTCGATTATACGTATGTGTAATCGCGCGATTGAGACGACACGACCCAGCACCGCGAACTATGCATTATACAATTTATATGAGGTGCGTTCGAAAACGTCACTTGGGTGCTCCCTTTATCTCACTCTCGTATTATCTCTCTCACTCCAACGCAGCGGGTGTACCCGGGTGACTTTTCTAAACGCACCTATGTAGGGGCTCGTTGAATAAACAAACCAAGATGAGGCACATTATCGCGTAATTACAGTTCATCGTTGATGAACGGTATGAATTAAAACGAGACCAGTAAATTTGCAATAAAAATATATTGAAAACTGGGAATAATTTTAAAATATTCTACACTGCTCGAGGCACGTGTATTATCGCTCGAGCCTCGATACGTCACGTTTTGACGCTTATCGAATTCAATATGGCCGCGCTGTGTACAAGAGATTGATGAGGACGTCAATCAATATTATCGTGTGAACGGTGATAACGCGATTGATTGTTCTCCGTGATGACTGCCAACTATTATTTCGCGATCGTCGGCCATGCCGATAACCCATTGTTCGAGATAGAATTCAATAATGCTGGAAAAGACGCGAAGGTTAGTTTATCGTCCTTGTAGGTTAGGTTTTGCTTCTGCGTTCACGCACATTTCCGTTAATTGTCCTTGTTTTTATTTTAGAAAGAGGACCATTCGCACTTAAATCAATTCATTGCTCACGCGGCACTTGACCTCGTGGACGAGCATACGTGGAAAACAACGAACATGCACCTGAAAGTTGTGGATAAGTTCAACCAATGGTTCGTCAGCGCGTTTGTGACAGCGACGCACATTCGATTTGTTATGGTGCACGACAGTAAAAACGAAGACGGAATTAAAAACTTTTTTAACGAGATGTACGAGACCTACATAAAGGTGATCGTTACTTCTATGATACGCAGTATACCTTGATTTCTGTGTGTTGTCAATGCGCTCTCTTCTGTTCCAGTACTCCATGAATCCATTTTACAAATTGAACACCCCCATTAAATCCTTGGGATTTGAGAAGAAAGCACAGTTATATGGAAGAAAATATTTATCATCATAATGGAATCTAACTTAGATTGTAGGATAAAACAACTGTCTTTAGTTAAAAATTAAGCTTTACAAAAATAAGAATAGTTATAAATTTATTTCTTCTCAATGTATATAGAATTCCATATATTGATTAAATAAGAATAGTTATAATTAATTTTTTTTTCAATATATATAGAATTCCATATACAAAAAATGTACTGTTAATTTATATGTAATATATTGATCATATTGACTTCTAGATTCAAATTGTTCTTCAATACAATTTTTATAATTAGCATTTTGTTCACACATGTAGTACAGTTTTGTATTGCTCAGACATGAAAACAGATTACATAGCATACACAAATCAACTGTAGACACTTAGATTTATTATAACTATTGCTACAATTGTAATAATTTGACAACTAACGTTACAGATGTCACAGTCTTTCTTGCTATTTCCAAACATACTTGAACACACAATGAAGGTTAACCCTTTTACTTAAATATAAAGATCTCTCTGGTTTTCTGTTGAAAGTAAAGATATATTTTTGACATATTTACTTGGTTAGTAAGCTTTGCAAGTAAACAGTAGGGGAGAATATAATTTTTTTACATTCTATGCAGTGAAAGCTATTTTATTAAAAAATATTATATGTAATTATCCGTTTTAATTTATACAAAATAGTAACAAAACAACATATTTTTTTAATATATGAAATATATGTATATTATTTAATTTCTTTATATTATACTCTGGTATTCTGTATATCTTCTATTCCAATTCTAGATCATGTATCTGAAATTGTAAAATGTATATATTTGTAAAAGTTGAAACACTTGTGTAAAGTATAATGTATAAGTAAATCAATCTCATTATTACCTCTTGTACTTTCTGCATCTCTTGGGTCAACAAATTGTCTAAAATTTCTTGGAATCTCTGCCTCAATTTAATGTTCTCTATATTAGCTATCTCAATCTCCTGTTGCTGTCTTCTCTGTCGTAGCTCCGCCAGTTCTGCATGAAGAGTGGCGAGACGTGTTTGAATGAGGGAATCTGAAATTTATTCAGGGAAAAATAATTAGATCTGCAACAATTTCGACTAGATAGAGATAACATTCGATTGAAATTACCTTTAGACACGGACACCGGCGGTGATTCGGTATAACTATCAGGAATAATATACTCCGAATGAAATTGTTCCAATTTCGGCACTTTCGCCGGGGTGGCCTCTTCCTGTTGTTTCTCGGCCTCCGCATCGCCATTGTTATCATTTTGGAACATCTCTTTACTAAATTCAGTCACCAATCCGTTGCTTGTCGTCGCGTTATTGTTTGATCTTTCAGAATATGGCACCTGCATAGAATTTGAGTCTGAAACTCGGCTATCCACCGAAAGACGGCTATTTTCATCTATTTCCATCACATTGAGGTTCGCCTCTTCATCATCATCTTCACTGTCGCTCACAGGCTCGCCAAATATGTCATGTTCAGCTAAAATTAAATAATTCATAATTTATAACTCTATAAAATAGAGAATCTTTCTTCCTGTAAGTTACATTTAAATCATTGCTCACCGACGTCTAGACTTTGAGATGTATTTCCATTGATGCTATCCCGCTTAGTTTTAACTGTACCAGATGATGATACTTTGCTTGGTTTTGTCTGGTCCTCATCCTCGCATATCACTTCCCACTTAACATTAACTGCTTCATTGTCCACTCGCAATAAACGCTTAACTTCCTTCTCGATCTCTGGTGCTTCCACATATTTCTTCTTCAAAGTTTTTCTAAATCTCCTTCGTCTTACATTTTTTGTGCATGGTGTTATACCATGAGGCCAGAGGAACTTTTTATCAACTTTGTTAGGGTCTTTCTTCTTTTGTTTAACAGGTGATTCTTCATCTGTTGCAGTATGATCTTCTTCTTCTTTACATATAAGCATCTGAGAGGATTTGCAAAAAGATAATGCAATGTTAATATAGCAATAAACATTAAATACAAAGTAAGCATTCTATTTCTATCTTCTCACTATATCTCTCATTCAATATACCTGACATATATCTGCAGTCTTATAAAAGCTTTTGTTATCGATGGTTTTCAAGGACTCCACTATTGTTGGTATATCCACTACCTAGGTAACAGTATCATGTCTTATTAAACAGTTTTAGAAATTATAGAGTTAAATAACATATAAAAGTTATATTTACCTTGGCATGGAGTAACCAGTGATCGAATCTAACCTCACCATAACGCATATCATTTTCTAACTTAATATTTAATCTATCTTTTAAAGGAAGGCCATTACTCAATGTATCCTTGAGTACTCTAGCAGGTTCCTAAAAGAAAACAGATAAGTGGTCAATTGTAATTGTTAATATCTAATATCTAATATTTTATTTATAATTATTACTAATAATTATAGGTTAGATTAAATCTAGAATGTACTGAAACTTATGATAAAATTAATGATTATAATTACCGGTGGTAAACGCAAAACAAATTGACTTTCTAATTCAACCTGCGGATCATTACGACATTGATTTTTGAAATCGGCATTTGGATGACGATTCATCTTCCTCTTTGTTATACGATGAAACAGTTAAGACTTCTTCTTCACTATATTTTACTTGGCTTGCAGCTTTCTCAAATAGCTCTTTCTACTAAGGTACCGAAGTAAAAGTTCCAAAAAATATCAGATCCGAACTTGTTTTAACACGTCTAGTTGTAACGACGGTTAGGTCGGAACTGAACATTAGGACCATGGCTGCGTTCCGAAATTCACTCTCAGTACTGAAAATCTATAATTTATGTAACGTATACTATAGAATTTCAGCACTGGCAGTGAATTTCGGAACGCAGCCCACATGATGGTTTCTGCCACGATGTAGGCTGCGTTCGGAAACGTCACCCAAGGCTGCGTTCCTTTTTGGCGCTCACGCGCTTTAAGCGCTTATAAGCGTCATGGCTCCTGCACACAGGACGCGGTAATGCTTGCCGCGCGGCGGAAGTTCGCACGACAGCCAATCAATATACTGCTTTCCGTAATAACCTTCTAGCTCTTACGGAAAAACAACATATTGATTGGCTGTCGCGCGGACTTCCGCCGCGCGGCAAGCATTATGGCTCCTGCACACAGGACGCGGTAATGTTTGTCGCGTGGCCGAAATCCGCGCAACAGCCAATCAATGTGTTGTTTTTCCGTAGGAGCTAGGAGGTTATTACAGAAAGCAGCATATTAATTGGCTGTCGCGCGAATTTCCGCCGCGCGGCAAGCATTACCGTGTCTTGTGTGCAGGAGCCATTACCGCGTCCTGTGTGCAGAAGCCATAAGTCTATAGTGTACGTAACATGAACTATATAGATTTAAGAGTAAAATTTCCTCGAAAAAGATGTTTTGGAATGCAACCCTAATAAGTGAACACACATTACCGGTGTCTGAAATATAACCTCTTTGTACAAACACTTGATTCGATTTTACTTCGTATTATACGTTCGGTATATATTACTGAAATATTTCGTAATAAATGATTTTTATTGCTTCTTAAGAAAATTCTTCAAGTGTTTAGGATATACGACTGTCGACATGGATATGTACCAGCTAAGAAATGTATATTTTTTTGATAATTATCGTTTAATCAAACATATAACTCGAATAATTCCACGTTTTCCATATTATTGTTTTATTTATATTATATTACTAATCGCATATTTTAAAATAGCAACGTAAGATTCAGTAAATTTATTTTCAGTAGTTTAAAGATTTCCTTCTGCTCTACAATCAAATATCTGAAACCTGTTTCAAGAGATGTGCTAATACTTTTTTTACTCGAGAAGTTACTGCTAATGAGGTAAGCTTTATTATAAATATATGAACGATTTA